CCTCTGACTCTGGAAATCCTTAATTTCAGTAATTACTGAACTTCCTTCAGCAAGATGTCATCAGTTTCATGCAAGATCAGTGGTGTAGTGCAGGTTATAATGGAGTACTTATTTTTCACCGCTACACCACTGCTACCACCAGTGTTATGTGTCATTAGGGCTTTTTTTATTGGCTATCTGGCAAAACAATAGAGAAGTCAGTGTTTTCTGGATGTGTCTATACCTGCATGTAACACCAAACAATCAACTGTTTCTCTTGCTTCATATTTGTTTGGCTGGCACAGTCCATCCTTTTCCGTGGTGACATGCAAAAAATATGGGAAAAGTTTGACAAGCTTGAACTGCAGAGAACATGATCGTGCTAAAGCAATGAACATGACAAAGCATCTTAATTTGCATTTATCAAGTTGTTTTACTGTTGATCCGCAGTGGAAAACCCGACCAGGTAACGTGAAACTGAATAAATGATCAAGTTTGATACCGTTGACATTATAAACCACACAGGTGCAACCCCACAAACAAACCTGACCTGAAATGAATCTCTTTAGTGTTGCATACAATGAGATCAAAATACAATATGTCATAACTAGATATTAACTGAAAACGCTGATAAATCTCAGCTTTAAATAATAATAATACAAAAATGGAATAGAAATTTGTGCGTCAAACTAGAAATTAATACATTAGTCATTATTGGTTTTAAGTATAATCCTTTATAATTTTTATTGTTAATATCATTAAAGCAACTATAATCAATATGTTTCAATTGTGTGAAGGTGTCACTGTGTGAAGTTATGAACCAACAAGGAATTATCACCCGACTCTGCAGTTCTCCTCGGCTCTGTGGAACCTTTTAGCGTCGTTCAGAACGTTGTTTCGGTTCACTCTCACCACTCTCATCAGTGTACTACTACTATTAAATGGCAGACAGACACAGTTAACCGTTCTACAAAAAAAGTGCTTTGTGAATGAAGGAATTATCTAATGTGGCCAATCACAGCTCACTTGTTGCAAATTTGTTGAAACAGGTCCCTGTTGTGTGAAGGCCTGTATCTCTCTGTAAGATGTGCTACTACATACTTCTGCTAATGCTATAATATTTTTAAACTAATAAATCATTTTTGGTAATTTCATCTTTATTTCTCCTTCTTCTATTATTGTATTATTTTTTAAATTTTGGCCCCTGGATACCTCACCTGGTAAAGGTGGCACCCCATGTACCAAGGCCGAGTCCCTGCTGCAGTGGACCAGGGTTTGAATCTGACCTGTGGACCTTTGCTGTGTGTCATCCCTCCTCTCTCTTGCCCCCCATTTCCTGTCACTCTTCAGCTATCACTATCAATAAACGGCAATAAAGGCCCCCAAAAAATATAAACATATAAAATACAGACACATGGTGGCTCACACAGACACACAGATGCACTGATAAATACACATGTTTTAAATACTTTATTTGAATCCACCAATCACATTAAATGTATGAAGTAGTTCATTTATGACACAAAACACTTTTTGCAAGATCAGGCATGTCTCTGCAGTGCTAACAGTTTTACAAGCATCACATTTCTTTGGCAAGCTGCCCTGCTGTTGAAGTCATCAGGAAATGGATCTTACCCAATCTCAAACTGTCCCTGTGACAAGTACACGTTAACATTGAATACATCGCTGTCAGTAAACCTCCCTCTCAGCTTCCAAGAGGAAGTCATTTATAATAGGAAGTCATTTATAAGGCTCATTTATGTGCTTTCCTTTTGATTTTTCTCCCAAAAAACAGTTGGAAGAGCTGTCACAGCTAAGGCCACAGAATATCTCACTCCATACTCTAACAACATGACACTTCAAAGCTCAACATCTATTGGGGTTTATTGACTTTGCTAAGACAACTCAGGTGGGTCACTGACACCTGTTTACAGTAGAGACACCTGCACAACCATTACTCAGTTTCAAGATCACAGTGCATCAATTGTGTCTTTGTATTTTACATCAAGTCTGTTGCGTCTTTTGGTTCATTGTCATTCAACCATGTAAATGTTGTTCTTGAGCCAAGGAAAAGGTCAAACACTAGTTGAAGAAACTGCCATGCAAATTTTGTTGATGAGCTAGATGCGGGTTAAGCCAAAAGCAAACAGACATTTTCTCTCCCTATAAATCTGTAAGTATTGTAACCTTTTTAATTTAAGCAAACTTTTAAATACGACAGTACATTTCAGTTTTAATTACAAGGCAGTTTAACACGTCATAAAGCACACATTTATGCACGTATGCATGCTTCACCAACAAACGTACTCATGCTGTAGGACCTATACGCGACATACAATTCGCATATTGAATTGTCCAATGAAAGGGGGTTGTCATCGCTCACCGTTTGATTTGGTGTGTCCACAAACACTCTGCTGCAAAGAAGTCTTGACGCAGTTTGTGCACACCCACTCTGTATCTCACAATTACTCCATTCAGACTGCGGCTAACCATATCAAACCCACAGCTCCTGCAGTGGAAGTGAAAGAATAGAAAATATTTCCTGGATCTGAAAGGGAAAAAGAAACTTTAGGATTTAGTGTTTGCTATCAGAAGTCTGGCCATTTAGGAACTTACACGGTGAATTAAAAGCAAGATTAGAGGGGATAGATTAGATATACAGTAGTCTCAAAGTACTTTAATTGTTGTGGCTTACCACTGTTTTGCTAATAACAAGCTTTTCTTTGAAAGCCTTTTCACAGGCACCTGTTATTTCTCTGCTTTTGACAGAGCCACATTGTTCAAACAGGCTTAAGTTACGCAAAACAGTTTTTCATTACAATGCATCACTTTGCAGAGAGCAAACAGAATTACACTGACAGTTTTTACATTTGTGGTTAAGATTCACTGATTGAATACAAATACTAGTTTCAGAGGTTAGATGTGGTGCTGACAACAGTTTCTCCATCTCTTTTAAAGTCAATATTCCAAAGTATATGGAAGTGATAGAGATCTCTTGTAGTTGTTATTGTTGGCAATAAAATCACCCATGCAGCTGAAAGGCACACACTTTGGTGTAGGGAAATTAATAACTTACCAGTATTGGAAAGTAGCATACATTTAACCTTTAAGTGCAAGTTTTAAGATACTCTATTCTTAAATGTACTACATTTAAGAGAGAAGTTGTACTTTTTACTCAGCTAGGCTATAATTAACCTCGTATTTACATAGATTTTTCATACAAAATATATGTTTATGACACATAATGTGTTGCTATAAAGTACTAACAGTATATAAAGCAGTTAAAATGATCCACCTCCATCAGCTACATTGTTATAAACCTGGCACACCCACACAGGTGTTTTTCTTTATTCCAGGTGATTAGACTTGGCCTGTAGACCTCCCTGGAAATCAGTACTGAGTGGACCATCCTGGTCAAATTAAAATAAAATAGTTAAAGACTTTTGACAATACCAGCTCTATTTGTCTAAGTCAGACTGCTGAAGTTTCATATTAACTATTTTTCACGTATAATGAGCAGGCTTGGGGAGTAACGGCTTACATATAACTGAGTTACGTAATCAGGATAGAAAAAAAGGCTAACTTTAATCTATTACAGATACTGAAAAGAAAGACATCATAAGATTACAATTACAATTAGTAAAGGATTACATTATCAGTTTTAAAAAAAAAAATACACTGGCGCGAGGAACATTTTTCCCATTTTTCTTCTCAAACGTCTGCTGTAATGCTGCTGCCTACACTGCAATTTCCGCAGCTTGGGATCAATAGAGTATATCTATCTATCTATCTATCTTATCTATCTATCTATCTATCTATCTTCGCTATCTTATGCTATCCTATTCTATCTGGTCTATATCTACTATCTATAGCTATCTATCTATCCTATCCATCCATCATCCCATCCATCTCATCATCTAATCTATCTATCTATCTACTCTATCTATTCCTATCTATCTATCTATCTTATCTATCTCTATCACTCATCCTATCTATCTACTATCTTCTACAAATATAAATATCTTAATGGCAGATTCATTTTTTATTCTTCTCAAATGTTGTCTGAGCAAGAATCTCTAGCCATTTATTTGTTAGCTGGCAGGTCACCTGAGGTCTGTCTCTGGACTGTGAAAACAGGACCTTGAGTGAAATAGAACATAAATATATTGTTATGTATTATGTAATTACAAAGTAAACTAAGTATGTAATTGGTGGAGAAGGATAGGATTAAATGGACTAATTTTCCAAATGGTAAGATTTAATTTGTTTATCGGGATTATTTATTGAATTTGCTGTATAGGTTATATTATTTATTTATTTATTATATTATTATTATTATATTTTAATATTATTTGGTTCATTAATCATTTTCATAATAAAGTCTTTTTTTGTCATGTTGGAGATAAATATAATTGTAACAAACAAACTAACAAGTAGCATTTTACTTTAGTTGGCCAAGTTGTGGCTAGTTTTAACTACTCTATATTAGTTTAGTTCTGTGGTTCCCAACTCTGAAAAATCTGGATTTTAACAGTTTTTAAATTTTCACTGAAAAAACTGTTAAAATCCTACTGACAAGTGTCTTGAGCTAAAAATGTTGCAATAATAGGTTTAATCTTTATCTGTAATCTAATAATGAATTGTATTTTATAAACTTAATCTATTTTTTTTTTGACAGCTATAGCTGTCAAAGAAAATGTGGTGGAGTACTATAAAGTAGCATAAAATGATAATACCCACCTCAAATTTGTACTTAAGTACCGCACTTGACTAAATGTACTTAGTTACATTCCACCACTTTATTTTCTTAGAACATTTTTTTCAAAGCGACACTCTTTAGTCTCTTATCACTTTGAATTGTCTGTCACCTAAGCACTGAGGTCAACTAGTAGTGTTTGAGGAGGTCTGAGCTAATCTGCAAGACATTGGTCCTTTAGACACACACACACACACAGGGTTGTGTGCCTAAGTAAACATGACTGCCCTATAAATATAAATTGCAGTCAATGGTGCTGGAATTCCTTTGCACTCACTCATCCAGTCACTTGCCCTCTCTCCTCACTTTGTACACACCCCCAGCAGGTGCTTTCACTTGAGGTTTAGTTTGCAGTTGTGCTCTGGGCTCTGACTTTCAGGTTAAGCTTAGACTGCACCACAGAGCCTGGGAGGGTCCGAGGCCTCAAGCTGGGGGCTCTGAGACAATCATCGAGGGGGGAAACAGATTGAAGGGTGCCCGCTGCGTACTGCACCTCTGCCCTCAGGTAGCGCCCAGGGCGTCACGGCTGAGCTGAGCCTTTGGTCTGCACCGGGACAACAGGCCATCCTTCATCCTTCATCCTTCAACAGAACCAGAGCTGCACTGCATCTGCTAACATCCAGTCAAGGTTTTGCCTCTGAGCATCTTTGCCTCGGTAAGAAGACACTAACCTTACACAACGTCCTAAATATGTCATGTGTGCTTAAAAAAAAATAATATAGGTTTTATTTCCTTGTTCGCTTTACTTTTAATTGTTTGAGGAGATTTTGTGTGATACTAGTTGTTTGTTCTCTTGGAAATTATCAAATTTTCTACTTTTCATAAGTTACTGGGGAATTTAAGTTGTCCAACCTGTCTGTCACTGTCACTGATGCTGATATCATCTCATCTGATAGAGGAAATAAAGGGCATTTTATGTGCAATCTACCTGGTAGAGGATTAATATCATCCAGAGAAGTCATTTATTGTCATTTATTATTAATTAACCTGTGAACACCCTTGAAGCTGTGGCAGTTAGTTAAAAATAAAAGAAAAAACACTGGTTGGTAAATATCTTGGTTTAGCATTCTTCATCATCATTCTCTTAATATCACTGGTAAGTTGACGACTATGAACTGGGAAAAAAGAAGGTATATCAGGCTAAATAATGTGCTGCCTAAAGATTTATACAGTAAAAGCTTGAACATCTAGAAGAGGGGAAAATGAGGGATGAAAAAAGAATGAAAAACTGTTATCTCATTAATTTACCTAATCCTTTTTGTTTTCTTGTCTTTTTATTTGCTCTTTATCTTAGCCATGCTTACCTGTTTTTCTTGTCCAACTGCATATTAGCTCTCACACAGAAAGATAAAAAGCAAAATGTGGTCAGATAAACGTTGTCTAGAGGGGGTTGTTGGTGATTTGATGCCAAAAACCACAACGATAAGCTGATGTATTCAAAATAAAAGTGTTCCTCTTGTCTAGGATAAGACAGGGGATTTAATTGTGATTTTGAGTTTGATTAGAGATGTCAATTAAATACAACGGCTGTTCCCCACGACGGGACTATAATAGGGCAGAAATTACAAAACTTTCTGCTTTTTTTCTGTGGTTGCAGGTGTGTTTTAATCCTGTTAATCATATCAAGTTAATCTACATCATTACTCCACATCATGACTCTGTTGTGTTTGTTAAGAAGACAGATTTACAAGGGATTTTAATAATGGAGTATGCTAAATATTGCTGCTGCCCTGGCTCTCTAAGGGGGCTGTACAAAAAATGAGTTAGAAGGGTTATTCATTTCTTTTTTGGAACACTCGCTAGGGTAGATAATGTTGAAGAAACTAGTAGGAGACGGCTAAGGTATCCAACTGATATCTAACCGTAGCCACTCCCCCAACACACGAACACTCGCCATCAACGCTAAACCAACTATTGAGTGCTTTTCGAGGAAGTTAAAATACATAGACTCTGGTTTGACGTGTTTGCTTTACCCAAACTAGCCTTGTATTCTACTTCTGTGTTTGTTGTTTTGATGTTTTCATCAAACAGGGAAAACTATACATATAGGCTCTTTTTCTGTCATTCTTATGGAACTAGCTCGTTAGCTTCAGCTAAATATGCCGGCTTGAGGAAGATTTTGCTCATGCGCATTGAATGATTCGGTCTGAATGAAATGATTGGTTTGGCTTAATACAGGACTGTGACTGCTACAGATACTGGATTTTATTTTTATTTAATTTATTTTCTGAAAATTTTGATTTATTTTATTTTATTATCTAGCTTTAAGAAAAAAACCTTCAACCTCCCCCCTAAAATCTAAAAGAAATCATCGTTTTCCTATCATCACTGTCCTCTTTTTTCTGTAATTATTTTTATACAGTTAATCTCACAAGGGAAGGAAATAATTATATATTAATACGGGGTCGGGAAAATCTTAATGACCCTCCCCTGCTCTCTCAAAAAAGTTAGATCCCCTCCCTTCAGCACAAAATAAAAATTGGGCCCAATTATATTTTTTGTGCTGTCCCTAAGTCAGTTCATTGAGGTTGTATATTGTATTGTATTGTAGTCCACTCTAGTGAAAATGCACATTTTCACATTTTTAGACAGTTTCTCCTTTAAGGCATCCATGCTGTACACTCAGTTGTTTACATGAAAAATGATGGGAATAGTTGGCTCCTATCTTGCCTCTGCACAGCTGGCCAACCATAAAAGTGGTATGAAAGTCGTTGTGAAAGTTACGGGGGGAAGAGGATAACAAAGCTCTTCGAGTCTCCTCATTATTTCACACATATCTGATGTCTTCAGTGGATGTTTAAGTAACATGCTTCATGTACGCCATTATTTATCTGACCTTTATCTGAAGTCTGTTCCTGTTGCACTTTTTTCTTTCACTGATACACCAAGTTTTCTACTTTAGTCAAACTTTTCCTTGCACATTTTCACAATTTCCATTCAGGTGTTTTATGCACAAATTGAGAAAATGTTAAAAAAAAAACAAGTGAAATTGACTTTAAGTGTGTGTGTACACTATTAAGCCGGACATGAAGTAGTGGAAGTAGTGAAGTAGTTTTCTGTCCCATTTATCTACATTGCCACACTACTGTTGCCTATATGCTGATTGCACCACATTTTCTTACTGTGGCTTTTAAAACCGCTATTAAAACCTGCTCTTTCTGATCTTTTGTCAATCAAATTCAGCTACAACAGCACATGCCTTAGGCCTCATGGCAAAAGTCCCCATATCTTCACCATCTCTTCAAATTATCTGCCAAAACTGGTGACAAGTTAATTTTACTATCCATTCAAGTCCAATCTCAGTTTATTATCAGCATCATTAACTGTAAATACAGCCCTCTGCAAAATATATTTCTACCAGCAGGAAAGCATATCCAATTGTTTGGCCAAATGCCAGTGCACCTGACTAACAGTAAAAATGAATCACCAATGCAGCAACATCCCCCACTGGCAGTTAATCCAACCCACCCAGGGAGAGAAAAAGAGTAGAAGTACAAGAGTATAATACAATGCAGAGGTGGCAAATGTACAAACATTCTTTACTACACTATTTACAAGTAGAAGTAAAGATACTACAGATACTGAAATGTACTCAAAGTATGAAAATAGTCTCTTGGTTTCTCTGAAGGACTTTTCTACTGGCTGTTTCTGTGCAGACTGATATTCCAAATGGGGTCGAGGTTCTCTGTTCTCTGTGTCAGTTTCGTCACATTATGTCATGTCATGCGTCACATGCACCGGTCTCGATGTTGGGAAGGCGTGTTTTGAAAATGTAAGGAAAAGAAAGTGCAGAGATGTTTGTAGAAATGTAGGGGGTAAAAGTTAAAAATTGTCAGAAAAATAAATACTCAAGTAAAGCACAGATACCTGAAAAACAATAAAGTACAGTAAGAAAGTAGTTCTACTTTGTTACTTCCCACCTCTGATAAAACTGAATTAAAAATTGACAGGAAATAGGAGGCTGTAAAATACAAATATTGTCAATAGTGATAAAAATAGGAGCCACTGCCACATGCACAGAAAATCTGCCTTTATTTGCAATTCATAAAACAGGCATACAACCTTAAAATTGTCTACACCTAACCCTTATGTATAATGTGAAAAGAGCACCTGCCCCTGTTACCATAAAAACGTCCTACAGCATGCAGGCTTTCTTTCCAGCAATAGTCACATTGAGCAAGGAGCACAAGATGAAACTCCTTCTCTTTCCTTGTTCTCGGAACAATGACTTCCTTAGTTGGTCCAAGTTTCCCATGAGACACAATAACAAGGGGGAAAAAAAAATCTCCCTTAAACGTACACATGGCAAACAGTCACGCCTGGCTGTACACACTCTAGACTCAAACAACGCAGACTGTGTGTGTGTGTGTGTGTGTGTGTGTGTGTGACGAGCCAAATTCACGATCCACATTTTGGTCGCTATTAAATAGATATTCTGAAATCACGCAGACAACCTTTTCTTTTTCAACTCAGACTGAATCATGAAGGGTTAAACACACTTTTGAAAGCTTGTTTTAATCATTAACTTTAATCTAAACACTTAGCCGACTTCTGTCACATAACTGTTTCAGCAACAATGATAAATGGGCTAAAAGGTTCATTTCAGGCCAGATTGGTTGTGTTGGTCTGCAGCTTTCCTTTCAAGAGGTTTGGAAGTAGGTTGTTATACACACAGCATATGTAGGTGAAAGGCTACTGGAAATCAGAATGAAAAGAGTAATATCTGTACAGAAACTCCAACCCACAAATTGATTTTAATTGACATTTTGATCCCAGTCGGATGTTTCTTTTGGATCTTTCTTTTTTCAGTGAAAATATAACTCACAGGTTGCTCTTTGGTCAGTTTTGTATTGTTTTTTGTTTTGCAGAAAAAAACACATACTTCCAGTAACAGAACTACAAACATATAAAATCCAAGGTGATGATACAAACTTCACCTCAAATAATCACCTTCTTCATGTTAAATGAGACCAAGCATGTAGAAGAAATATGGTTCCCAGGGTGGACGCCTGCATGGAGGGAGTCCTTTTACGTCGGTGTCAAAGGCTGACTTTGCAGAGTAAATGGAGCAAGCTCTAATGCTCCTGAAATGAATATCAGCGTCTTGACCAAACTCATTTAGAGATCAGTCAGAATTTTAATCCCTCTCCCCAGGGGTGTGTGTTTGTGTCTTTTTCTTGTGCCCCCTCTTCCTTTTGGAAGAAGGTAATATGGCTAAATTTGCTTTGCTAATGGGCTTAGCGCAAGCTGTTACAGAGCAGCGTTGACACGCAGCAGCCAGGCTGGGATGCCAGTGGCTTTTAATCTGAATCCTGATGGAGTGAAAGGGATTGTGGGTTATAGTTTACGAGAAATTTGGAGATAAAAGGAAGACTGGGGAGGAGGTTTTACAGTGGGGGGTAGGGGACCAAAGACTAGAAGGCGAATCTTTTTTAGCGGCGGGGAAGATAACTTCATTTAACTTTGGGGAAGTCTGGTTAAAGAGAAAGGGTGACTATAAGAAAAAAAGAAAAGAATCATGTGAAAGGTTTTGCACTTCCAGGCTTTACAAGAGGTTGTGTGAGGTGTGGATTAGGAAAAGGTTTAACATCACCTGGATTCGTTTAAAGCGCTGCCCTCACAAATGATTTTAGTTGATGGGTGTTTTTATGTACTTTTATGTACTTTTATGAGACTTTAATTTCTTTGTGTCTTGACAAATAAAGCCATGCCTCTCATTGAACATGTGCTCTGTGGGAGCACACTTCCTTTACTGTGGCGTCGGCCACAACCACTGATAACCTGGTGTGTGACGGCGGTGTGCCTTCCCATATGCCAGCTGTGGCAGCTACACATTATGATGCCATATGCGAGTTCACCCTGAGATTACAACACTTGTGCTACAGCTGACGTCCATAAATGAATACTTATGATAGCAATTTCCTGTGCAGCTATCAGTAGAGACTTCATAAAACACCCTGGTTGTTTTCAAACGTGGTTTTATGCACGCTCTTCTCCACATTATCTAACTTGATTAAAAACTCCAGCTGACAGTGGAGACAGAGGGCTGCAGAGACGGCACCTTGAAAGCCGAGGCAGGCGGCAGAGCTGCTTCAGGTCTTAATACAAGTCATCTACCCCCAGGACATCAGCCATTCTGGGCCACTGACCCACAAATAAGAGACTCAGTCAAATCCATTTTGCCCCATGCCTGTCAGCGCTGTGTGTGTTTTAACTGTCTTGAGGGTCATTTCCCTGGTATCTCCATTAGAATCGGGGTTCTTATAGAGCATCGACCAGCACTCACCTCAGTTCTGCTCATAACATATTACGAAAAGAGATTCTTACCAGCAGTTGCTTTGATGGAGTTTCTTACTTAACAAAAACAATTGCTTGTTTAGCAGCCAGAGAAAAGCAGGGAAGGAACTGTTGGAGAAGGTATTGTCTTTTTGACTTGAATTATTTCAATGGAAGCGATGCTGAACTTAATCTCATACAGGATTATTATTTATAAAATTCTTGACAAATGCAGATTTAAATTATATATTTACCTTCAAAACATCTGTTGTGAAGTGTTTTTAAGTTACAGGCAGATCTGTTGAACCTTTTGCTTTCACACTATTCAGAATAATTAGCACACTTGTTTTAACATTTTGCAATGTTGAAAGAATATTTTAAAACCTTTACATGACTCTTAGTTCATGAGCAAATAACAGGTCAGAAATATGAAGTCTAAATTTGGCTTTTCTTGTGTCTCTTGTCTCCAGTAACAGTTATGTCAAATCCAGTGGGCAGTTTATCAGAAGACACAGTGTATGGATCCCGGATCGGGATGACAGAGGACCCCCTCGCCATCCTGGAGCGAAACAGAGGCTCTGGAGAACCCTGGGACATGGTGGAGACCAAACCAAGCGTGGAAGCCCTCGAGCGGGGTATACCAGGCCTCTACCTCTCCTGCTTCGACATGCTCCTCACTGAAGAAGCCACCTGGCTGGTGAAAGTTTCAGAGGCCTCCCCAACGCTGGCTGTACCCATGACACGCATGGAGCCCCAGGAGGAACCAGAGCAGTGCCCAGTCATAGACAGCCAGGAACAGGGACTCTCTCCTGGGCTGGAGGGCCAGGAGGAGGAGCGTTCTCTGGAGCAAGTGCAGAGCATGGTGGTGGGAGAAGTGCTGAAGGACATTGAAACTGCCTGCAAACTGCTCAATATCACCCCAGGTAGGCTGCCTTCCACCTCACCTGCTACTGCAGTTTGTCAATCTTCAAGAGGGCTGTTACAGAGACATTTAACTGACAAAGAAACACAAGCAGTAGAAAGTACACAAGACATTTTTTTCATGACACAAAAAAGTGCCCGTTATTTGCAGGTAAAGAAATTGAGTCAGCTATATTCAAGCTACTGGATCTTGCTCCCAAAATCAACACATATTTGTATGGATAGCCCAGGAAAGATGACAGATCTCTTAAATCATATCCTTACTGACTCATAGCCATGTTTGCCTGCTCCAGGATCTGTTTAATCCTGACCTTTGCATGAGTTCTCTTGGATTGTGACAGTGATGATTCTTTCCTGACATTAGACCTTTACACAGTCTTAAGGGCGAGGTCTCTCCTGCTCACAAAGCAAACAGAGAAAGCATTATGTATTGTAAGGCTTCTGGCTGTCATAAACCTGTCATCTGTTCTACTGATTAGAATTGTAGCAGCATAAAAGGGTGATCACCTTGTTGTTTCAGTAAATTTATTATGTGTAAAAGTAGCATAACATTAAACACACTTTCAAAAGAAAGGGAATTTAAAATGACTTAACTTGACTGAATAGGGCTTTAATCTTACTGGATGAATATCCTCAGTATTTACTGCAGAGACAGCTGGAAGTTTTCTTACTGATTTTCTATCTTCCTCTGTTTCATAGACCCTATAGAGTGGAACACAGGGAATGTCCAGAAGTGGCTGCTGTGGACCGAACATTTGTACAGGTTGCCACATGCAGGAAAAGCCTACCAGGACTTGACAGGAAAGGACTTGTGTGCAATGAGCGAGGAGGAATTCCGCCAGCGCTCGCCACAGTGTGGAGACACGCTGCATGCACACCTGGACATATGGAAGTCAGGTGTGTGATTGACATTTATTTATTTAACAAGCTCATCATAGCCAGCTGCAGCTCCTGTGGTGATTTTATTGTCCAAAGTTTAGCTGTTTGGAACTTTTGAATTAGCATTTTAAGTGTACAGTGTGTGTTTGTGTGTGTATGTAGAGCATGAGTGGATGGAGGTAGTCAAGTCAAACCATTAAATTGCCCCAAATCACCGATTTGTCTTGCAAATGACATGCTTTCTTGGAGCATTGGTGTTGGATGAGGAAACATTAAACAATAAAATAGGAAAAGAATAAGGGAACATAAGTATTAAATTAATTGAAAGTAAAACTTTTTTTAAATGTTATGTCTCTTTGTCTCCAGCTGCCTGGATGAAAGAGCGGTGTTCAGTTGGAGACACAAAAACTGCAGGTAGGTTTGGTTTCCTGTCATTTAAAGACAATAGTGAGCAGTATTGAATAAAAAAAAAGTAACTTTGCACAGAATTAGGCAAAATGAACTGTTACACAGTTTGACTACAGAACTCAGTAGGGTTCAGTAGAGATTTTGGCTTTCATGCAAAGCAGTCACCTGCTTTGCATATCTCTATGTGTCCTGGTTAATCTGGTAATCTTTTGGGCCTTGAGGAATGTGTGTGTTTGAATCACTACGCTGTGGCTTTAAGGTCTGAATATTGTCATTGTTTTTGTTGCCGTTGTTAAGGTGGCGAGGAACTTTGGTCCGAGGCAGATTCGTCTTGTTCAGGTCAGCCCATTCATCTGTGGCAGTTCCTCAGAGAACTCCTGCTTAAACCTCACAACTATGGACGCTGCATCCGCTGGCTCAATAAAGAAAAAGGTATCTTCATTACTTTAATTCTACAGTATAGTTATGAATCTCCATTTAGACATCCAAATGTACCCTTCACTCTCACTCTTAAACTTCTCTTTTGAAATTGTATTACTTTATTTTTAGAGGAAACTTGTTGCAATTAAAGTGTTAATAAAATGGCAATAAAATAATATATATTTTATGATTTATTGTACTAGTAACTCTTGCTATCTCCAGCTCCTTTTGAAACCTTGTTCATATTATCTAAATAAAGGAAAGAGAAAGTTGACCAAGGTTCTGACTGAGGCTTGCTCGACTGTTATTGGAGCACAGAGCAAAAAGGGGTGGGACTTCAGAATGGTCAATTTTACTGCTTTCAGCTCTTCCTCAACCTACAGTTCAACTGAGACCAAAACTCCTATCAATGCTTACACAAATTCCAACTTTAGCTGCTTTGAGCTATTTTACCTCAACTTATACTTCAGCCAGTTTCAGAACTACTTATTTCATCTGCTTTCTCATGACTACTTCATCTCTTACAACTCCTTTACATGCTTACGCTTCAACTGATTTCAGTGCTTCAATTTAAACTGTAATTATTATATCTCATAAGCACTAATTAATATGTTAAACAGTTTAACTGCAGTTTCAAAAACTCAAAATGTAAAAATCACACATATTTTACGGCAAAGCAGGAGAGAAAAACTTAGACTTCCTAGAATTTCTGTCTCTAAAATTATTTTGTTCATGCTTTTTCTTTGTAATAAAAGTATATATATATGTATATATGTTTATTGTGTGGCGTGCTGTTACAATTATCAAATCTCTTATGATTTCTACCAGGTATTTTTAAAATCGAAGACTCCGCTCACGTTGCGAGACTGTGGGGACTCCGAAAGAATCGGCCTGCCATGAACTATGACAAGCTGAGCCGCTCCATACGTCAATACTACAAGAAGGGCATCATCCGCAAGCCTGACGTGTCTCAGAGACTGGTGTACCAGTTTGTTCACCCAGTATGAGGCACAACATAGTGGGAGGAGGACAAACAAAAAGGACACGCTGTCTTACCACCATGCACTTAAACACCTAAGCCTGAGATGAAAAGGTGACATGGAACACGTGCACTGACCAACCCCAATGGTACACACTTCCACTGCCAACACTGAAGCAACAGCTGGCAGCTGCTGCATGAAGGCTTATCTGTGCATGAGCCGAGAAGAAGAGACAAAACAATGTGGCTGTTGAGGCTTTTTTCCTGCTGCAGAATAAAACAACAACACATTAAAAAAAGAAGAAAAAAGAAATTAGTAAATGAACTGCCTTGTCATTTGCATGATCTGCCTGTTTATTTTTCCATAATGTGATTCTTAATTATCATTAACTCCATTACCCCAAACAGTTAGAGCTGATCGCTCTTATGTACAGGCTTCAGGAAAACGCCCATCGCCCACGCACAGCTACATTTGCTTTGTCTTTTTGTTTCGCTCATCTTGACCACTGTCTCTGTTTGAATTAGAGCCGGTTTCCCTGCCATAGCTGAAAATGTGGCTAGGATTGTTTTGCTTCTTTTTTGGGTTTGGTCCTGGCTGTTATATACACAGTCAGCCAGTCTGTTATCTGCAAGGTGCAGACAAGCAGACTTTAGTAGTTTGCTGAATCTGGTTTCAAGCCTTTGGAGGACCCTTAAACCCTTCTGTGACTGTACTGATAATGCCACTTGCTAAATGTGATTTTCTAAAGTGTAACTTGGTAAAGAGTGATGCATTCCTTTAATATTGTTGCTGAGAAGCCCTGCTTTATATATATATATATTTTATGCTGACAACTGCGGTTTGTACTGCTGTACAATATTTTGCATTTCATGTTGTGGGTGTTTTAATGTGGAGACCCAAAGTGTTAGAAATAAATTAAACAGATATTTATATAAAATAAATAATCATATAAGTAAATTCAGACAAAATGTATTATATAACTATGAAAGTGTAAAACAATGAAATTAATTTTTAGCTTTGTCAGCAGTGTGGCTCTACGGATAGCAGTGATGGTCTGTCAATTTTGTACAAACATTCTCGTCCCCTCGTCTGGATGAGTTGTTAGAACGTTTATAATCCCTTAATGTTTCATCTAGCGCCATCACCAGGTCAATATTTAAGTTTGGCTGCAAATCTAATAATATTCCCAACAGCCTCAGCTCTACTTTGTGCTAATTTGTCAATGTTACCATGTCAACACAATAAACTAAGATGGTGAACATGGGAAACATCATACCTGCTATACATTAGCATGTTAGATAGTAGCATTTAGCTCGAAGCACCACTGTGGCAATTCTCCTTACTGCCCCTTACGTTACAGTAGACTCTTAAACTCTGCTCATCATCATCGTCACTTAAAGTCTTTCAACCAAGAAAAAACAGGACAGAAAAAAGTGCTGGAATTAAATAAACATTACCTGGTATAAACTCTTTTATTTTGAAAAGAAGCAGGTTGAAATATAATTACACTCCAGATTATTTCACAATTTGTTTGTTATGTATTTTGTCTGCATTTATTTATATGGATATTTATTTCATATTCTTTATATGTAATACATTTTTAACTCTTTGGGGCTGCATATTTTACACTCAGTTCTTACTACAGTGCTTAATGTCTGCCTGAGCAAGGATAGGATATCCAAGCTTCAAACAGGGCTCAATAAACTTTATTTTTAAAATGAACGTGGATCTGTATGGTGTCTCTAACTAATAAAGGGTTTGTAAATTCAGTTACATGTACTTTGCAGGCTTAACCTAACAGTTATTGGAAGGCTCGACAATCATTTGATAATTACTTTGCAATTATAATTAATAATTACTTTTCACTACGTGTTTGTTTCTAATTCAGATCTTTGTTGACATTTTATCTTTTCTTTTCTGTTCTTAACTGTTCTTTCTTTCATAAAGACCAAGGTTTTTCTAATTGTGTCATAAATATTATTTCTATGAAGTGAGCTAGAAGGAATTTGTCTGCCAAGAAAATGTGGCCTTGAGCTATAGTGATCCCTGCTGTGTGGGTTTTTCTAATCTCCTATGGGGATTAAAAGGATCAAGGGGATGTTACGATGTCAGTCTTTAGACAAAAAGGTATGACAGTGTGTTATCTATATGATTATCGAAGTTATTAGCACCATGGTGATACAACGAGAAATGGGACCTGTAGAATACAAAAGGAGTGATAAAGACTGTGGGCAGAATTTATTTGATAGGCCTCACCCATCCCTCACCACTGCCAACAACAACCGTTTTAATTCAACACCCAAACTCTTCATGTAGGGAGTGGCAACTGCAAATATTATCACATGAAATCTATCCAGAAAGCATTTAAAAGATTCTTAATTACAGTAATTTCATTTCCTCTGTATTACTCTGTCTTATTCTTATTTATGCCGACTTGGACTCCGAAGTTCCTTTTGAAATCAGCATTGGATTAATTACACCTTCTGACTGGTTATGCAACTTTAGCTGGAAAAGCTGTTATTTTTGCTTCTTCAGCAATAAATCTTCTTAAACTGTGATAATAATCACGTGTCTAGAAAGGACCCCATTTGATGCTTTAGACAGGATCTAGAGGAATACTCATGGGGTGAAGAGAAGGTGGTGTGGAAACCTTAAGATTTAATTGCTAATAATCACATATATCAGTATTTGCTTGGAAAGGCTCTTAAATGAATATATTTGAACTCTAAACAGTATATCATTGTGGTGCATTAGTAAATAATTGAATAGAAATATCTAAAGGTGGCATTAGAAATCAATAAATAGGTTTATTTGTCTTTTTCCTTGAACTTACAACTACGTTATCACTGCAAGCCAGTTATCCACTGGAAGGTCATTTTTTGTTGTTTTGCTGTTGACATTGTTTTGTAAATGTGGGAAATAATCAGATTCTAGTGTCACAGTGCTGAAGTGTGAACTGTCACCAAGATGTCAGTGTCAGTGTTTGGCCAGTTGTCAGTGGGGTTAAGAAATATTGCAAAATGTACTTAGAAAAGCAAACAGCTGTATATACTAGTTATATGTTTGTTTTTCAAGACTTTACACATTGTGTGAGGTTTGTACTAGAAAGGAAAACCCTCAATGAAATACCAAAATATCAACAAATATTAACAACAAATGTCATCACCAGCGATCTGTATAATTGGACCAATGTTCATTCAGTCATTACACCACAAACAAGACAAGTAGTCCCAGTCCCAGCTATTGGGTCTGTGGCACTGTGGGAATTTTGGTCTATAAACCGGCAGCAGGTGCGTTGATCAAACTGATTGTGAAGAATTGTGGGTGTTTGTGGTTATCTGACTCACAACATGATAATTAATGTGACACATCTCTGCACGGCTGCCTGACAACGAGCTGAATCTGGTTTCTACTGACCTCTAGTGGCAGACTCTAGTCTATAAGCTAGAACCCAGGAGGCCACAGCAGATGGGAGCCCCAGAGTTAACCTTAATTTAAGTCTTTCTCAGACTAGATTAAAGGTGAGGAAACTCAGACCATCACCATTAAATACTTTGTTCAAATTCATTTAAGAGGGCGCACCACTCGCTTTAGATCTTTAGACATGTCTGCTGTCTGGGACAGCTCAGAGCTGCTGCTTTGACATCATTTATTATTATTGTTATTGCGCCCTGAGCTATATACAGCTATAAACCTTCTGTTTTGAATTCATGCACATTACTAAAACTGAACATTGAGATTTGTGTTCATTTAGGAAATGGACATTTATATGTACTCGGACTTTTTGACAGCCCAAAGTCAAAATTTTTCCTTTCCAGTACAAAACCATTTTCCCAGTGACTCAGTCGTGACACACCCTGAACAACAGTAACTAAGAACACTTACTCAAGTACTGTACTTAAGTACAATTTTGAAGTATTTATACTTTTACTACTATTTTTTAATCTACTTTATTATCTGTGTTAACGGCAAACTCTTTTGGGCTTTGAACATATGAACATACATATATATCGTATATACACACATATATATATATATATATATATATGAAAATATTTAGTATTTTTACAGTGTGGTGCTAAATTTACTGAAGTAATCTGAATACTTTATTCCACAACTGTTTTTTTTAAGCTAAATTTCACCACATTATAAATGATTACGTGCAGCAGTCACATCTTTGTGTTTCAGTAGTATGAAACCAGGTGTATTGTGCTGAAACATCAAAATCCTACTTCACAGAGTCTCATACGTGCCTCAGAGTTTTCTGATGACATCTTTTATTTTTGCTTATGCAGATGAACAGGCACTACAGTTTTGAAGTTACAGCACTATGCTAAAAAAAGAGAAAGCCCTCTAAAAAGTTGTCCTCAACATTGCAGATCAATGTTTCAAGCATGAGCAACAGACAGAAAAGGAGCATTTAAGTTTGTTTGTTTTTTTGTCAATATGATTTACCGTCCTTCAGTGTATCACAAGAGTTTCACAGTGGATGCTGCAATTGTAGCTTCACACACTTTTACAGTACACTCGTTAACAGCACCAGTCTGTTTGCGAATGCAGTTAAAAGTACGTTAAGACGTCAAATTCATGTAATCTTCAATCAGACAAAGAGGGCCTGCGTGTGGTGTCAGTGTAAACTGAGCCGGAGGAGCCGGAGTCAGATTCTGTGGAAGCGAGCTCTCTTTCACTTTGTTGAAATGTGACGATTGAGAGTCTCTGGCGTGGCAGGGTGGTAGATTTTAGTAAGGCAATATGTATTTCACCCCTCCAGAGTTTACAAGGAGCAACACTTTTTAAAAAGCACACAGAAGCATAAACACAGTACAAGAGACATTTCCCTCCCGGACCTTTTAAAAATGAACCTCTATCTTGCAGCAGAAAAGGCAATTGTCTCATCAATATTTCAGAGAGAGATCCTCTTTCTCCTTTCTTGTGCAGTGCTCGTTGCAGTTTTCTCTGTCTGCGTCAGTAAGAGAACACCCGCCTTCCTCATCGATGAGGGTGTAGTTTTCACCAACACCTGTGGTAACCAGGATTCACAAACCAATCTCATATAACATGTACTGTACTGCCACATGCACTCATAATTTGTGTTTGTATAAAGTTTGATTCAGATTTTCTGATTAATACAAAATATTTAAATATGAAGACGTGTACACCCGATATTTAATACAGTATGTTTTTTGGTACACACACACTGAAATAGACCAATCGGGGACTGGCTATGTTATGCAATGCAAATCAATGGCATTTATCATCATTATCATCCCGATAAGAGTTTTAATTCGATCAAGAAACTGTCAATAATTTGGTGGAAACAAACTGAGGCCATGCACTGGATCAGTTCAGATCAGAGCGTTAAACAGTGTGTGGGAGCATCAGCATGCATATAACCACAGAGATAAGAGCTGGAAGCTGATAATGCCGAGTCACTGACATTCACTCATAGCAGACAAGTCTCATTAACTGCAGAAATTAAAAAAATAAATACAACCCTGGTCTTGAAATGAAGCTAATCTCCGTACAAAAACAGCTGCGAGTTTGTTCATGGCGCCTGCGTTATTAACACAGTCTGCATGTAAAGACAGAAGAGGAGGAGAAACTAAATGACGGGTTAAGAGTTATAACAGGCACCTTGTTAGGGACAGGTGGGACAGCGGAGGTTAATGTAAACAATCCTTGCACGGTTTGGTACAGAGTACATATTTCCATTTCAAAGAGAAGCTCTGCTCAGTGACTTTTATCTCGTTTCAAAATGCTAATTCAGTGACATGCTGTGGAGTGCAGCAGGAAAACAACTAAATGCATTAAAGGAATAGTTTTTGGGAAATATGGTCGTTCGCTGTGTTGCCAAGAGTTAGATGAGAAGACTGATACCACTCTCATTTTTACACTAAATATTAGGCTAGAGCCAACTGCTGGTTAGCTTAGCTTAGCATAAAGACACAAAGCAGGAGGACAGAAGTTAGCTCTGTCTCTAAAGCACACTGAATAACATCTTGTGTCTAGTTTGCTTGATCCGGACAATGGGTGACGACTTGTGGTTTAACATAAGAATGGTATTGACCTTCTCCGACTCTCGAGAATAAAGGGAATAAGCACCTTTCCCAAAATGTCAAACTATTCCTTTGAAGCTAGACATGTAAATATTTCACAAAGGAAAAAAAAACACTGTATCCAATGAGAAAAAAAACTGTACAAGCATCCAGACTGTAAAAAAAAGATTAAAATATATACATGAAATGCACAATGCATAGCTCAATTTCGCTATCCAGGCACAACCGAGGATACCATATCAATATTATGATGAGAGAACATACTGTATGGCATGTTAGCATCGCATCTGAAATCAAACACAGCTACACACAAAAGAGACTAAAATATTTAGCTTCAGTTGCAGTATTTTGGAGATGATGTGATCCCGAAACAGATCTCGTTTCAGTTAGGTGTTCTCTGTGATGAGTGCTGAGATGAAGACAGCTCACTGTGCCCGACAGGAAGAAGAAGCTTTGCTTTCAAGTCTCTGGCAATGTGCAGTTATGACTGGACGGTTCAGTCTGGGTTTTCCCACCAAGCGTCCTCAGTTGGAACAGTTAGATCGGCTCCACGTAATTGGCCGGGTAAAGACCCAGCTGGCCGTTGTCTAGACGACCTTTACACCAGCCCTGCTCATCCTCCTCCTCCAGCTTCGTCAGCTCATCCCCTTTATCAGTGAGAGGAGACAGAAGTGTAGAGCAGGAGGTTCATTATGTGAAACAATTCTAATTAGAGTAATACAGAGTAAACGTTACCATGGATCCCAAAGCTGTCAGCAAGAACATTAAAGGAATACTATGTTTTCAGTATCAAACACTGGGGCCTTTCTGTGTGGAGTTTACGTGTTCCCCCTGTGCTTGTGTGGACAGGAATGTCTGTTTTTGATCAGTTTAATGTATTGAAAGGATAGAATTTGATTCCTTGCAGAGAATTAGATGAGAAGATTGACACCACTCTCATATCTGCCCTACAGCCAGCAGCTGGCTAGCTTAGCTTAGCATAAAGACTGAAACAGGGGGAAACAGCTAGCATGACTGTCTGAAGGTAACAAAATAATGGCCATAAAGACGGTTTTTTTTTTATTGATTAACACTAATATTTACTCATAACACTCAAAACTCTTTTGCCAACATATGGATAAATACACAGCTTTTGTTGCTCACTCGTGCTGCTCGATGTTTCTCCTCCTCACACTGACTACATTTGCTTACGATGGTCATTAACGACAAAAAGTTGGTTGCAGTGCAACTGGATTACTTTGGTGCCACACAGGTGTTACCCATGATACTAATTAAGGGTGCAGCTCTTGTGGATGTTGGCTCACTGCAAAAGCTCTGCTACACTAAATGGAACTGAGTCTTAATTAGTATAACTGGTAACACCTGTGTTTACTCTACTGTTTCATGCCAAAACGGCTGCTGTGGAAAAGGTCTGTTGATTCAAAGATTAAATATTTTGCCATTTCAACACTTTGGTGAGCTCACGTTATCAAAATATTGTGCCATCAAGCTGAGTACAGACACTCTTTTGGCATTATGTGCCATACTAACAGTGCAAACTCCAGCACAAACTGTACTTGACAAACTTGCACTCATTAGTGAAATGGCTGCTAGCTTGAGTCTTAACAGCACTGACATGGATCCACTGTTTTGATCAAATACAAGATTTTGACTGCTGCAGGAATCAACCCTGTGACCAGGAGTCGCCAGGTGTCACGCTCACCTGCTTTAAAGGTGAGCTCGTCCTGCTCCTGGCCTTCATAGTCGTACAGCGCTCTCACTCTCACACCTTTGCCCACGTCTTCGTCAAAGGGGTTCGTCCCTCCGTTGGTGTCGTTGCCTGAGTTCGGGGCTGTCTGGTCCTCGTCCGACCACTCCGTGGAAGCCGTGTACACCTGGTTCTTTTCGTAGCTGCTGACACTGAACGTTACACATTTCAGAAGATCATTTTCCAGCAAAATGTCACAATGTTCTTACGCAACCTGTGCTGCGACTATTACTGCCACTGTGTATGTTTTATGTTGTTTTAGTGTGTAGTTTGTCTTCTTTTCTTAACTTGTGTTACTTTGTTTCTACTGTCACTGCTCGTACTATAGCTGCTATAACTACGATCATTATTATTAATATCACGGTATTTCTGTTATTTCTACAACTAGCAGCTGTATTTGTGTAGTCATAGTTACAATGACTATATTATATACGTTATTATTATTATTATTATTATTATTATAAAACTTGATTACTTACAAAATGATTAAATATTTATCACAACATACAATGAAGGAAGATACTGATTATACCAAATGCAAAGATACACTGATGACTTGGGAATATCACAACATACATTTAGATGATCTGGCTAAAATGAGGTTAGAAATATTAAATATATCAGTGTTTAATCTCACCTTCCCCGGTCTCCAGACTGAGCGTGGTCTACTGCTGTTGTGACGTTAGTCAGCATGACTCCATCACTGCCTTTCTTTGACTTTTCTTTCTTAGAGATGTTATGGGTAAGGTCTGGGTTGTATTCCTGCAAAACGTCAAACAAAACATGTTGGGATTTGTTTGTTTTAAACGTATATTCAAACCTAAAACTATTCCTTTAATGATTGGACAGTATATATAGCAGGTCTCCAGTGATGACATAATGTCTGATAATTGTAGCTTTCTGTACCTCAAACTGTGGCCAGTTCATATGCATGCCGGGGCCGTGGGTGTTGCTGAACCACTTCAGATCCTCCTGCGCGCTGGCTGATGTGATGGTGCGTTCGAGTTCGCTGTACACTGTAGCATAACTGCGACAAGACAGCCGGGATTTAGTGCATGGGTTAGGATAAGCTGATGACTGTGTCTCGTCATATTAATTAAAAGTCTCAAACCTTTGGTCTTCTGTGAGGTTGAGGTGGCGTTTGACGTCCAACAGCACCTCCCTGAGGAAGCTCAGCCTCTTCTCTTCAAACTGCTGGCACTGGTCGAACACCTGCTCCATGTTTTCCATGTATTGTGGAGTGCACTTACTCAGCTCATCCAGAGCCTTCTCGTACTTCTCCTTGGCCTAGTTCGTAACACACACAAGCAATACACTCTTAACAGCCTGAAATAAATTATGTTAAGCGATACCTCACTGATGCAGGGATGAGTAATGTCTTAATGACACGTCTCGTCCACATGTTGCTGTTTTTAAGTTCTGCGGTCAAATGTGAATCATATTAGTGTTGAAAGGACAGTAAATGTGTATCTAAGCACAAGACAGAATCATTGTTCAGATGTGTGAAGGTCGAGGCCGTCAAAGGAGACCAGAGTTCACTAATGTTCAGCTAATGTTAGAGTAATGAGGCAGAAACATAGAGGGGGAGGTGTGGTTTTAAGTCACACATTAACAATGCTACACTGACTACAGCTACAGTGCCTTCGTAACACTTGGTCTAGAAAAAACAGCTCTACATCTTAAAATAGCCGTGAGCTGATTTGCTTTTGGCTTTATTGTGGAAAAGACTTTTGCATAATGATGATCCCACAGGCCTGTTAGAGCCGCGGCAGCTGATGCTCTCACCTTCTGGGAGTCCTGTTTGCACTTGTCCAATTTCTCATGGAGTTTCTTCTGCTGATCAGCTGTCAGAGAGGCCTCTCCCTTACTGTTGGCCTCTCTGGTAGACGCCAGCTTCTCCTCTTTGCAGGCCATGTGGAAGGACTTCTTGGCAGCCTCGAGCTAAAGGGACAAGATGACATAAACAAATTAAAACATTTTTGATATGATGTATATTTTTGGGTAAATATGCACATATGAGGAAAATACACAAATATATTATTTCTAATTGTAAACTTTACATAAATAAAGTAGGGCTGCAACTAGTTATTCGTTTTATTATAGATTTAATTATTTTAAGTAAGAAAATTGTGAAAAATACTGGTATTAAATTGCTTATTTTGCCCAACCAACAGTCAAAAACCTAAAGTTATTTAGCTGACTTTCACATTAGACAAAGAAAAGAGGCCAATCTCACAATTTGGAAGCTAAAACTAGGGAATGTTTGGCATTTTTGCCTTATTAATTAATAATCAAAATAGTTTTTTTTTTGATCAACTATTATTTTCACCTCTAAAATCTAAAACAATCCATAAAAGTCTTTATAGAAGTGTTTCATGATAAGTGACTGCAACAGAAAGTTCGATTAACTGTATAAAAATGAGCAGAAATTAATCATTTTAGCTGATGCTGATATAAAAAGTTTCCCAGAATTACAAAAAAATATATTTACCCCGTTTGCATCTAGCCAAGAGATAGTTTTGATGTTCTTTGTGAAATATCTGCTGTCACCGCAGTTCAAATTGAGGTGAAAAGAATTAAATTTGTGCTCATGTCACTGAAAAATTACATTTGAAAACAGCGACACGTCTTCTCAGAAACAATGTCCTGGTTACTGTTGACGGTTTCAAGTGTAATTTTTCAAAGCTGTCAGCACAAAATAAATCCCATTCACATATCAAAACCACTGCAAATATTCTTTTTTATTTGCGTGAACTGACCCTTAAAAATTCAATGTCTTTGGACAGACTCAAAATGTGTCTCCTCACCTCTTTCAGCTTTTTGGCCCAGGGTTTCTGGGCCTTCTTGAAGCCCTCCTCTGCCTCTTTGGTTTCCTTGAATCCTCCCATCATCTGTTTGTGGTACGAGTCTTTCTGCCAGTTCTTCACCTTCTCAAAGTCCTCGTTGATCAGGTTGTTTTTCACATCCTGGTGAAGCTCGCTCACCTTCTCCGCCTCCGTCATCAAGCCCACCCAAGCTCGCTCTACTGTGCCGTACTGAGGCCCTGGTGGAGGAATGAAAGGTGAATAGGTCAAGTGAAGCATGAATTTGGTTAAAGGTGGGGTAATTGATTATGGAACAATGTAATACTGTGACAAATCCCATGATATAGTACAAACAACAAGCAATGTATGCGTATGTAATGTAACTAATGTCGGGTATGTTGTGGGTTTAATCTAAGTGAGAAACACTGCTTACCTTTGTCTACCAGCTGTCTCCACCTCTTGGACCACTCTGTCAGTTGCTGTGAGTAGGCTTTCTCGATTTTGGCACGCTCCTGGATGCAGTTCATCAGGTCATTGCAGAGCCGGTGACCATCGTCAATCCGCTTCACCGTACGCTTGTAGTTCCCAACCTTGCATAAAAATAATGTCTCAAGTTACCATCTATAAATTCATACAGCTGGAAAAAACTGCATTTATCATACAGCTATTATATATTACTTATTTTCACAAACATTTAAAAATGTTTTGCTGCTCTCTCTGAAGCCTCTGGGCCTGCCCTGGTAGTGCTTATGCAAAGCTAAGCCAACTAGCTGCTGGCTATAGCTTCATATTTTACTTACAGATATGAGAGAATATCTTTCTTTTCATGTAACTCTTGTCTTGTCTTGTCACGGTTGTTTATGTGATTTCTTTACTTCCTGGTTAGAGAAAAGCACATCCTCTGAGTTTCCCTTAATCTTTAATCTGTACAGTTTTGATTAATGAAGATTTTATTTTACTTTTATTGTGGCGAGATTTTCTGATGTCCTATTGTTTCTTTATGAGAAATTTCTCATTATTCTGAAGAAGGCATGATTTGTATTACTGAGAAAAACTGCTGTATACTTTATTATTGTTATAGGTGCCACTTTAAATGCAGCCTGTAGGTTGTACTGAATAAGCAGGAGGGAACAGCAGGGAAGAGACTGCTGCTGCTGTGTGTAGAGTTATGCATTGGAAGCAGAGGGTGGGTTAATGTCATATAATTTACAACTCTCCATGGACGCAGGAGCAGCAACCTCCCAGAGAGCTATTAGCTTTGCCCAGAGAGTGAGAAAGATGCTTAAATCCCACTTTACTGCATTCATTTCACACCTTTGTGACAGGGGGAAAAAAGGACTGCATCTTTGCTGAATGTGTAATAGCTGTTTACCTACACCTCACCTTGAAAATGACACTCAACAACATCTCAAATGTGGACTAAATGAAAGCAGGCGGGGGGACAAATGATTGTATTCCACACCAGCCCTGTGCTTCAGCCGCAGCCAGCCGAGTCAGCGATCAGCAGGCAGCACTGCAGCAGCTCTACTGTAATGCAACGACTGACTGTGATGTAGTGACTGTGTGCTGGAAACAGGCACCTTTGCTGCTCCAGCTGATTCCTGAGCACAATGCCCGGCTGGAGGATAAACATGATGAGGATAAAATACAGCCGAGTCAGAGAGGAAACGGACTACAAAGCCGGAACGTACAAAGTGACAATACGTCTTTTTTGTCTTAAATACTCGCTGAGTCGATCCATCACGCATACTGTATCCAAACATGCAGCAATATGATCGTCAGTATTATCTGTAGCTTAAGATGCGTCTTCATGGTTTGAACACTATGAACGGTGTCCAACCTCTCATATATAATGAATGGACGTCTGGTAACTTGTTGCTCAAATTACCTGGGACTGTTTGTGCTCAGGAAAGGTTGTTGGTGATGTAATCGTATGAGGGAAACCCAGCACAACGTACCGTCATCTAGGACTAAAACAACAATTTTATGTGACAGTAATCTGGATATTATTATTATTATTAAATTATTTAATTAAATAAATCACACCACTATTTTTCTTTTGCTGTTTTGGAACCTTTTTGGTGGTTTTTATTGATCTTTTTGGTGTTTGTTGAATCATTTCATTTTCTGAGCTTCATATTTTGTTGTTTTATTGATATTATATGATTGTTTTCATTGTTTCTGTGTGGACCCCAGAAAGAGTAAAGAATAAAGAATCGGGATATGTTGTTGTTTTGGACTATTAGTCAGACAAAACAAGCAATATAACATAATCTTAGGCTTTAAGAATCTGATTTCTTTCCCCTATTTTCTGACTAAAACTCTCAAATCAATTAACTGAAAAAATAACGCTTATATTAGTTTGAAATCACAGGAAACCCAAGTAGTACTATTTTTAGTCAAATGATTTGAATTTAGGTGATGTCACTGTCTGCTACTAAAGTTAACTACTGCTTGACACAGATAGCAGACAGATTAAATTTGGGACATTTACTTAATGGAGACCTGTCTGCTATCAGGAGAGTTGGAGGAGCCATTATGGAAGTTATGGAGTATATTAGAAAACCTGTACAGTGTAGTTGTCGTTACAGTGGTTGCAGACAGTAGTTAGAAGCCTTCAACAAACTCAAGACGCACATTTTGTAGAAGCCAACTTTCCATGTGTGCATAAGAGCTACCTGTATGGACAGGAGTTGGTATTTAACATGTTAATGTACACCTGAAGTGAAATTCAGAAAATGAACCTTTTTATTTTGGCAATTTCACACGTGGCTTGTTCAAGAGCAAACAAAGACAGCATGGAGGCAGGTGGTGATAAATGCTGCAAACTGTCTCATCTCTAATAAGAACTAGAGCTCTATCGGAGGTGGGGGGAAAAAAAAGGCCTGAAAGTGCTGGAAAAAAAACGACTGCAGCTCACAAAAGAGACATCAGGTGGGTGACAGAGTGCCACTTCAGTGTCATCCACAGATGAAAAAACTGTCGCAATTACTCCCTGATGGTAACACTGAGAGAGAAACCACAGTACAGGCCGGACCAAAAGAGTATATGATTTGTTTTTAATTGTTGAACTTATTTTAACAGTTGCCTAACAGCAGATTTAGCTGGCTTTGTCAACTCAACTCAATAAAAAACGCTGGCACCGAATCGTAGCAGTTTGAGTGATTAAAAGACAACGTGCTGGCTCGGAGATCTGCTATAAAGTGGCAGACGCTCAGTGATTGATTGCATGCTGATAAATCTGATTCTATGCGTAGAATTAGGCCCGTGAGTTTATGTGTGATAAACGAGGCCCCACATATTCCTTCTCACCCCCAAGACGAAGCAGGTTCAGTGAGAGTTCATCACTAAGCAGTGTCACCTCCCAGTTAGGTTTAATCTGTCAAAAGACCGTTCCCTGCTGTCTCACCTCCCAGAAACTGTCTGTGGTCTCCTCCTGGCTGGCCGACTCATCGTAGGCTCCAGACATGGTCCCAGATTTTGGCAGGATGGCTTAAGGCTGTAGCGATCTGCAGCAGAGTGACGCTCCTCATGCACTGTGAGAGAAGACGAGCACAGAAGAGTGTAAACACAGAGGCATGAGCTGGTAAACACACAGTTATACATATGGTTATAAGCTGCAAACAATGTGTCTGTACACAGTCTCTCTGTGTTCGCTAAGAGAATCGTCTCACAGCTTCAAACCGAACAGGACGCAGTTATGACGTTGTGATTTTAAACATTTTGTTTTTTTGTTTCAGCCCATCACGTACAGATTAAACGCTCATGTAATCACAAGTCTTAATCTTGATACTTTGTTCGTGCTCTTATAAAATGCTTACGCAATGGGGAAAAAGGCGGCGCACATGAAAGGTTTATGCAAGAGATTATTAACCACATGGAATTATGACAAATTAAGATGATATTTAAAGAACAGCAGATAACGCGTCTGACAAATGGCTGACAAATGAATGATGTTTTCATTAGCCCGATTATTGTGAAATACAGTCTAAGGCTGAAACTAGGGTTGCAACTAACGATTATATTCATTATCTGCTCATTATTTTTTAATTAAAGGTCTAAAAATGATGAAAAATGGCCGTCACAATGCCTGCCATTTCCTAAACCCCAATATGATATCTTTAAATTTCTCATTTAGTCTGTCCAACAGTCCAAAACCCAAAGATTCCGATTACAATGATTGCGTAAACAATGATATAAAATGAAGAAACAGGTAATAAATTAGTTTTGCTTGATAAATTACTACTCAAACAGTTGCTTCAGCTGTAAAGTAAAACTGATACTGTAGATAATAAGCCGATACACATACAAAGTCCAGACTAAAGGTGACGAGACCAGTGAAGTACATAAGTAAAGCATTTTTCTTTTTCCACATGATGATATCAAGTACTTACAAAACCACAATCACCCCCATAACCTGAGTGCTTCCGGTTATTTCTCCCTCTACTCGCCTGAGATGACTTTGGCAATAGATTTAATGACTGGCTCGTCATTTTCAGCAGCATCGACTCACCCAGCCTCTGTCAGAACACTGTAGCCTAATTGCAGAGTAATCTTCCCTTATTCTAATCAACTAACATTATCCCAAGGCCCCGCTGGAACACCTTATGCTGCAGCAGAAATTAATAGCCGTGACATGATTGCTAATGATGACACTGAAATTACAACACAAAATGAGAGGGGAAAGAGAGAAAATCAAAACAATCTCTACGTCCATGCGGGCCAGAGGGATCAAGGGGCCCCTGCCAGAGACTCTGAGCCTTTGAAGTGACTCTTGACATTTGACAAACAACCACAAAAAGAAGCAAAATGACCAGAACAAGACATGAAACAACTACAGACAGATGCAACACAAATACAGGGGACGCAAAATGAGATGCAAAACAACTACAAAGACACACCAAACTACAAAAAGATGCAAGACAACAACAGATCGATCTATCTGCCTGCTCAGGGACTGATTATTACAAGAAAAACATCAAATAATGGATGAGTCAGTGAAGACACAGACAGACTGAAAACATGATCCTGGTGCTGCTGCAGCCTCCTCAGTGCTACACTCAACTCCGCCAGTTCAGGTTCAGTTTACAGCTCAAACTACAGTTTCAAACACAGCCAAACGTTCACACAGCGTACAGAAATTCTGATGAAGTACGCGGTAATTGGCCACCGCCAATGACGTGTATTGTTACAGCTTCAGCCTCTCTTCTTGTGACGATACATTTAAATTCCTTACTTCGACCGTATCTCTTTTAACTTTGTACATCCATTCAACAACATGAACAAAGGTTTAAAGATAAGCCATTTGGTTTAAGGTTAAAAAAGGGCAATTTGTTCTATTTAACAACAAGAATTTAAGTTGGTTTGGTTTTGCATATTTGTTAGGCACCGTCATTCAGGATGGGCTGACAGCACAGGACCACACCAGGATTTTAGCCCTCCCTGGATGACTTATTCTGTCTGCACATGGATCTACTTTGGGTGAAACCAGACTATTTGTCCTGATGAGAATACGGTAGAGAAATACCACAATTTCCCTCTAAACCATATCAGAGCTTCCCACCTGCACATTAACTCAACAGACTTTTTTAATTAATCGTCACTTTCAGCTGCTCTACCCCACTATCACATGACAACAAAAGCCCAGACATTTTGTTTACTTTGGATATTTGCACAAGCATGCAAGCACGGAAGCGATACAACACTGAGATTTGAAAAAAGATGCATTACAAAAAAACATCCAAAGTGGGTTATGAATGTTTGCAGGTGAACACACAACCCCCCCCCGAACGAAACAGAAAAGCAGATCAAGATAAGATGCAAAGTGAGGAGGATGCAAATTAACCTAGATGACAAACATGAGATGACAACAAAACAGCAACGATGATTTGAAAATACTGTTATCAGTGCAGGGAAATGCCAGCTGCAGCTACAGACAAGTTTCACTGAGCCGTTGCTGGAATACAAAATACCACTAAACAGATGATACTGTGAGAGCATTTCATAAGGATTTGCTCTGTGATGCTGTAATGCCGATGTGGCAAGGTCAGTTCTGCCACGGTGCTTCATAAAACAACCAAAGTATGCTGAGAATGAGTCATTTGACCTCTGATGGATGACGTTTGTATGTTAAAGGAATAGTTCAACATATGGGTAAATAATATTTAATATCTTGCTGAGAGTAGGCTGAGTAGATTAACGCCACTCTCATTTTCTGTAAGGTAAATATTAAGCTACAGCCGGTAAGCTTAGTTTAGCACAAAGACTGGAAACAGCTAACCTCATTCTGTCTAATGGAAACAAATCTGCCTCCCTGCGACTCTAAAGACCTTCTTTGGTTAATCTGTACCGGATCGAAGCATAGAAACTGTGGTTTTACAGGGCTTTATGTGTCAGACTATTTATTTCTTGGCTGAGAAGAGTAACGTCCTCTGCTGGTGACCAGAGGCAACCTCATATAACCCCCCTCTAAAAGCCACAATTTGACGTTTCTATACTCTGTTTTTGTGTATGGATTACACATATGAAACATAACGTGTTAATTAGTTGTGCTGGTACGCAGATTTTGTTATCTTCGGACACCGTCAGGCTTGCTGTGTCCCGTCTTTATGCTAAGCTAACCTTTTTAGTCTCACATTTAACGCGAGAGACATGCGAATATTCAACTATTTCTTCAAGACACAGATTTTGTGCTTGTACCTCACACAATGAAAAAAGCGATTTGATTTGTCACAAAAGTTTAGGAAACACCACACTGATGCCGGTGGCAAGCAAAAGCTGCTGCTGAAGAAGCGGTTTGATGAAGAGACACATATGAAACAATAGAAAGAGAAGGAGCAGAGATGTGTTTTGATAGGAGGTCAGGGGGAGGGGTGTGAGCTGCATGGGTATTTGGGTCAACCGTGGACCAAATGGATGGAGTAACACTTGGGACAATGAAGGGCAGAGATGGAATGAGAGAGGAAAGTGAGGGGACTCAAAAATCCAAAATCCAGTTAACCCAGTGAAATCTCCACAAAGGTCTGACCCAACAGCTTTGAGCAAAACAAATGCCTCGACCGGATGCAGCGTGGAGCACGGCATGAGTGGATGTTTATCATGCTTGGTTAATCCATTAGCTACATGCCGAGAGGGGGCTTTTGTTCAGGATAGCCCTTCGCTTGCACAGAATCGCACTGTAGGAAAACAGCCACTGACGAGCTTCTTCCACTTTCCGATCAAAGCCAACAAGTAGAGATAAAACTGAGACAGAAATAACAACATGAATCTGGCTGTATTTCTAATTTAGAGTACACTATCTGGTGAGTTATTCAATGTAGACAAACAATACCTACCTACCTACCCACCCACCAACACACACACAAACCCAAACATTGGCAGCACGGTCAAGGTTTAGTCAGCATCGCATTGCTTTCATTCATTCTTCACTCTTTCTCCTCTTTCATTGCAGTCTCAGTCAAAGATCCACATCCTCACAAACAAGCAATGAGAGAGCATTGGGAATCCCCTTCCCCGCAAGTGCACGGGCACCAAAAAAGCACCGCCACTCGCAGCACAGCGAGCCTGTAGCATCAACAAGCCAAGAGAGTCAAACCCCGAGACAAAGACCAGCAATAGACCTGGAGAGAGGGAGAGCACAGCCCCCCGCCAAAGCAACAAAAGCTTACCCCCAGTCCTCCATTAACAGCGGCTAAGGCTGCAGCTAGGAGAAAAGAGACACGTGGGCTCCTCCAGCACTTAGCCCCTCTCCTCCTCTTCTCCCCTCCCGTTCGTTTATTTTCTGCGTCCTCTCTTACTGACGGAGCATCAGCGTGCGGAGCATGGGGGAAGAGGACCACTAATCTGTGATCTGAGATCTTTGTGCCTAGAGCACAGTGCAGGAAAAGACAGTGTGTGTGTGTGTGTTTCTCAATGAGTGAGGGATAATCCTGTGGCGCTTTGCTTGAATGGCTCAGACAGAGCAGCAGGCCAGAGGGACAGAGAGGAGGGTGAGAGGAGAGAGAGGGGGTGGTGGTTGGAGAAGGTGGGCTGCTGCTGCTGTTTATGAACAGCACTGTAGATGCTGTAGTGTGGATGTGTGAGGTGTTTAGAGATCAGACTTTGGTGGAACTGCTGATATGATCAGAGTTTCATTTCACAATCAGATTATACAGCAGAGGGGAGACATTTGAATGCCTCTATAGAAGCAGCACACGCAAGGTATTGTTGCTGAAGTTATTAGTCATGGATCTTTTTTAAATGCTGGGAAACAAACAAACTATTTCTGTTCACCTAAAATATGTGTGTCTTGAATGAATGAAAAATGAGAAGGGTTATTGTAGGGCTACTGTATGAAAGCGACACAACTCACACCAGCTTTTTCTGGTTATAAACTTAATCTTTCTATCTTTCGTATCTGTCCACAATAGAATTTTTGGTTTATTGTTTTAGTTGGCAAACTTGTCCGACAAAGGCTCTGGTGCATTGGGTCAGGAGTGCAACTATAACTTTCAGCTGGTTAAACAGACACACTTATGACTTGTCAGTACCTCCAGGA